CTTACTGAGATGATATGACAAAAGATATTAACCCTCAACAGGCCGAATATTTGTCTTGACTAGGCAAATACAGATTAACAATGAATTGCAGCAGACAACTTGCAAAAATTACTTTAATTAATTTCAGAATAGAGGTGATAACTGTTATCAAAAATGTTACTGGCTAATAAAGAGACATTGTATGACATTGTATCGATATATTTGTGTGACTTGTTGAAAGTTACACGGGCCTATAGAGGGTTAAACTCTCACTATACTTGCACCCTCTCACGACTACCTACTACTCTTTATAATTCCCTTATATTTCCCAAGATCATGTATCTGTGCCGAAATCTTAGCCTAAAAACGTACCTTCGTCTTCGCAAAAATACACAACCGTACTCTCATATTTTACGTCCTAAGAAGACGTTTGCGCGGCCAAAACAAACACTCTGAAGGCTGGCCTTCACTGTGAGAATCGCACGCAACAGGCGACTATCGCTTCGCAGAGGAGGAAGAAATTCCTTTCAAAAATGAGACATGAGATTGTACGATTGAATATTGGAATGTTTCGTTGCCTAAATAGGTTCGAGCAGTTTGAACACGAGAATCCTGGGGAAAGCACGTCGGTTTGCATAGTGTCGGCCTTACCGAACAACGGAACTGCAATCGACGCTTACGGATGCGACACGGTGATAGCGCCTTCCGTTTATCTGCACACGGTGTATATAGGACTCGCCTGTATCCCTGGCTCTATCATTCTACCGATTTTCGTACACAAACTCGGCGCCAAATTCTTTTTGAGTAAGTATACGTATCTACGCTTATTCGTTATACGCGCACTCGTTATACTTTGTACTCGAGTACATATATATATATTAGCTACTTACTGCTAAGTAGCTAAGAATAAATAATTTCTTGTTATATAGTTTTGTTATATATATGAACTTTAGTTGCACATATGTATGAATGGAAACGATTAAAGTAAATGCGAAATATGTGCGTAGATAAAAGTATCAAAGATTTGATGGAAATACACGTAAAGAATACCTGCCGGCAAGATTGATCATCGCGTGCTAACAGCGACTTTATGGATCAGGTTTCACTAACATTTGATTCATCATAGTTGCAGCATCCGTCAGTGTGAGTCTAAATAATCAAACGATAAAACTGTTAACATTATTCGGAATATAAACGTTACATCCACGCGTCTAGAACCATAAAGTCGCTGTTAGGACGCACGCGTTAAACGATTAAGAGAACTATTAGATTCCTTGGAAAGATTCCTTTTACCTTTGCGATGAGTGGAACAATATAAGGAAGATTTGTTTACTTTGAAATTGAAGGTCAAGATCAACTTTGGGACAGGTTCTTTTCAAGTGTAGAATTCATCTATGATAGCCACGGACAAACTTTCCTTCCCACCCTGTACATTGAGTATCGCGACAGTAAAACGGTCAAGCGCAATTGATGAAAAATGACGATGGCCTGTACTGTTTTCAGTCGTGTCGTTATTGGTGTCCGGCGCCGTGACAGTCGCCTTCTATTTTGTGATCAATTCAACGCAGAATCTGATACTGTCCTGCGTGTTCGAGGCGTTGACGTCTCTCGGCATCTCGCTGGTCTACTGCGTAATCGTCGACATGTTCCCGACGAATCTCAGGTGAGAAACCACGCTTCTTCGCCTATTTGCAACTTCGACATGCAACCTTTCACTTACTGCCATTTCTTTCAATCGTAAGTGCACAGTTTGCAAGCTGCATTCGTAGCTTGTTGGATTAGATGCTTGTCGCAACGTGTGAAAATAATGCTATTTGTTCGTTCACATTGTCGAATCACTGTTACGTAATGATGAATATCAAGTCGGTAGTACATGAAATAAAGCAGAGAGGAAGGATCCTCGGACCTTCTAGGAAGCTCTCTGCGAGATTAGTCTTAGAAGGCTACCTGAAGACTCATAATAAATGATACTTGAGAGTAAAAACGAAAGAAAATGCAACTCTTAAAGCTTAGTTGAATGATTGCAAAATTTGTCTTGTCCACTCTATAGTCCTTCTGTTATAATTTAATGTTATAATATGCACGTCTTTATTTTCATTTCTGTGGAAAATCACGCAATATCTTTTTTATATTTACCCTTGGAAAACCTAAGTTCTGCTTGGCATCTCTCTTTCGCGGCTAATTGTGTAAGCACCTGAATGATTAAATTTTCAGAGTAATGGCTGCGGCTCTATCTCTCACTATGGGTCGATTAGGCGCGCTGGTCGGTAACCTAGTGTTTGGCTATCTTATTGATTTAGCCTGCGTGATTCCGATCATTTTATTCGCAGTATTTTTATTCGGTAAGTAGATATTTCATCGTTGATCATCTCTACAAAAACATCCGGAAAACAAAAATTCGAAGATGAACTTTGAGAACAATGAACCAATAGATTTCTCGATAGATACGAAGATCACATCTTTTACTTTACTTTGATATTCGAAAAGATGTACACATATATTTCAAATTATTAAAAATATATATCAAATTATTTAAAAAATTCAAATTATATATATATATAATTTGAATCATATATATATATATATA